GGGGGGGGGGGGAGGGGAGGTTGGGTGCCCCAAACTCAGACGCAGGTTAGGGTTACCCCTCCCCTGCCTGTCTCCCTTAGTGGGGACCCTGCTGCTTTCCACTCCAGATCCTTGAGGACTACCTGCTGGTGGAAGATGCACCTCTGCTGGAGGAGATGGCTGAGGAGGATGAAGAGCTCGACCTGTACAATGAGATGACTTTTGGGTTAGGTAAGATCTCAGGGTTGGGTCCATCAGCCAGCACCCAACGAGGTGAGGAGGATGGAGGTGGGGGTTGAGGAAAGCCTCTTCCTGCTTGATGAGGAGCTGAGTTGGGAACAGGAATGCTGGTGGGCACTTCCCAGGCTCTCGCCCACCCTGACACGCTCTCCTTCCCCCCTCCAAGACCGAGACTCCACTGAGGAGGACACCACAAAACCCCTGATGCCTCTGGAGATGAGCCCTGAGCTGGCTGAAGCAGCAGCAGAGGAGACCGAGGCTGGGGAGGAACTGGAGCCCGGAGCAGCTGAGCCGGAGGAGCTGGGAGAGCCCCAGGAAGAAGGTGGGATGGAGCCGGAGGTTGAGCAGTTTGGCTCTGAGTTGGAGGAAGAAGAGGAGGAGCTGGGGACTGAGGAACAGGAGGAAGACCAGGAGCCCTGCGAGGAGCCCAATGATCTGGGAGACCCAGCAGTGATGAGAGCCGTACAGAGCAAACCCACGTTGGAGGTGACACATCAGTGGGGAGGAAGGGGAACCAAACCTGTGGGTTCTGCCCCATCAGGGGCACCGGGGGTGACTTGGTCCCTGCCTGAGGGAGGGAGACCTGCTATGCAGGGGCTGAGTACGTGCTCTTTGCCCACAGAGCCAGGACTCGGCTGTGCTGGACAGCAGGATTGGTGCTTGCTGGGCAGAGTTTGGCAAAGAGGACATGGTAAAAATGTCCCCCCACATCCGGTGACAGGGCTGAGTGGCCTCTGTGGTGTCCCCTGCCCCTTTCCTCCTGTCCTCCTTCTCCTTGCTGACCATCTCCCTGTCTTCCAGCTGCCAATGGATCCTGCAGTGTGGGGTTTCTGCCCACAGAGCCAGGACTCGGCTGTGCTGGACAGCAGGATTGGTGCTTGCTGGGCAGAGTTTGGCAAAGAGGACATGGTAAAAATGTCCCCCCACATCCGGTGACAGGGCTGAGTGGCCTCTGTGGTGTCCCCTGCCCCTTTCCTCCTGTCCTCCTTCTCCTTGCTGACCATCTCCCTGTCTTCCAGCTGCCAATGGATCCTGCAGGCTGGGGTTCCTGCCCTGCCAGCATCCCGTCCCCCCACGGGCTGGAGGTGGGTACCCCTGGCCAGGACCTCGGGGACTGGCCGAGGGCTCCCCAGTACCCTGGACCAAGGGTCATGCAGGCAATTTGGAGCGCCCAGGGTGCCTCCAAAGCCTCGTCACAGCTCTGGAGGTCCATGGATGTGTCTCTTGGGTGCCAAGGCTGTGGGCAGAGGTGCCCACCCTAAGCAGAGCCTGGGTTTGAAGGCAAAGCTGTTGAGTTTAGGGGGACTGGGACCCCCATGCCAGGTGTCTCCATGGGTCCCCTGCTATTGCATGCCACCAGGGTGGGAGCCTGGCTGGTGCCTGGTCCAGCTGAGAAATAAACAAAGGTTTTGGTGAGCTGCTCAGTGTGTGGGGAGCTAAATTGATCCCAGCTGAGCCCCGTTCCCATCTCCTGCTGCCTCCTCCCTGCAGGATAAAGCCATCCTCCAGGTCCTGGAGAGGCCCCCACCATCCACCAACGTGGCCCTCGACTTCCTTGGCTCCCCCATGCAGCGGGGCTACGGGGGCTCTCCCCGGCTCAAGCGCCCCAACTTAAGGCTTATGTCCCCCAAGTCCTTCCCCCAGCGATTTCTCCGGCAGGTAACGGGTTTTGGGGGGCTCTTGCATCCCCTCTTTCTCTGCCCTCCCCTCCCCAGAGGTGCAGCCTCGAGGACAGTCTTGTCCCAGCGACACCTCCCCGTCTCCTGCCCTGCAGCAGTCACCTCTGATGCCTCCCTCCCCGTGCTCTCCTCGGCCCTTCGTGCCAACTCGCAGACCCTCTCCGCTCTTCTCTTCCAACCAGGTAACACAGCAGGTTGTGAGCCACTGTTGTGTCCCCTCTGAGGTGGCCCTGGAGCGGCAGGGGGTGGGGATGGTGCCTCTGTAAAGCTCTGCCGTCCGGGGCAGACTTTGCAGCTTTGTCTAATCCTGAGCATCTGTCTCCGCATCTTGCTGATGGGGAAAGTGGAGCCACCGATGTAGCCCTTGCTTCATAAATCTATTTGTCCTGATGTCCCCATGGGACCTACACCGGGCATGGCGTTGTGCTTGGTGTCATGCTGTGGCACTGGTGATAGACCTAGGGCATGCAATCCCTGGTGACACCTGGGTCCCCTTGCCTTGCTCAGCTGTAATGGCAGGATCCCTGGGGGTTATCTCCTCACTATGGGGCCCCTCTGTGCAGGGAGACGGTGCCACCTGTGAAGATGGGCGCCAGAAGCCAGCACGGAGGTGGCAGACCTCTCCAAGACCCTCAGAGGATGCTTCTCTCTTCCTCTCCAGACTGCAGGGTATGCGTCTCCCACCCCTTTCCGGCCCATGTCACCCAACATCAGCAGCCCACCGCAGCCTCTTGCCATGCACTTTGGTCCCATGTCTCCTTCTTTGGACCCCACTCTCTTCTTCAGTCCATCAGCCAGCGGTCAGCTGAACCTCAGGTAGCAGGATGACGAGCAGGGTGCCCGGGTGGGACCACAGGGAGCCCTGCAAAGCAGCTGGGGGTGGGTGTCCCCCCTCTGGGGTTGGCTCTGGTGTGGGTGCAAAGCCCCTGTCTGGTCTTCCTCGCAGCGTGCCCAGCCATATGACCCAGCTGCACCCCCAGCACCAGCGGATCCTGACGCAGCGGCAGCAGCAAGGCAGGCAGGCGCAGAGGTACGGGTGTCCCCAGGGAGCTGCGGGGTGGTGGGTGGGGTGGGCTCTGGGCAGTCACAGCAGGTTGTGATCTTCTCCTGCACCAGCATGTCCCCCAAGAAGTTGTGGTCTCCTAAAGCGGACCCTTATGCTGGGCTGATGACCTCTAAGGAGAAGGACTGGGTCGTCAAGGTGGAGATGATCCAGCTGCAGAGCGAGAACATGGATGATGACTACTACTACCAGGTGAGCTCCTGCCAGCAGTGCTGGTGGCTTACCCTGCTCCTCAGGGGCTTTATCTCTTTGGGAGCCAGAAGGTGCCTGGGCTCATGGTGCCTCCCCTCCTGGCTATGCCTGTCGGCCGTTACAGATGTACTACCACCGACTGGAGCGCAAACAGGCAGAGGAGGAGCTCCTTGGTGGGCGCAACAAGCAGGAGCCGCCCAAGCTGGTCACGCCATTCATCCAGAAAGTGGAGACGTACGACTCTGGTGAGGGGCTGGGCTGGGTGGTAGTGGGCTGGATGAGGAGATGGGTTGCAGCACGTGTTCTCACCGTATCCCATCTCTCTTCCAGTGGTGCGCATCGCGGGCTCGCTGGGCCAGGTGGCAGTGTCCACCTGCTACAGCCCTCGCCGGGCCATCGATGCTGTGCACCATGCCCTTGTGGAGGAGGTAGGTGAGGGGAAGCCGGGCTGATGGGTGCCCTGGATGCCTGGGGACACATCTCTGAGCTTTCCCCAGGTCCTGGAGTAGCTTTAGCAGGACCTTAAGGAGCTGCTACAACTGAGCGTGGGTGCTGCCCCGCCTCGGGGTGCTGCTCCAAGCTGTGGAATGGAGCAAGCGCTGCCTCAGCAGTAGCAGCTTGTCCCCTGCCAAGGGTGGGATGGGGCTCCAGACAATCAGAGCTGGCCATGGCCTCCCCGTGGGATTGCCTTGAAGCCTGAAGCTGCCTCTGATCCCCAGGGAGCAGCTGGCCCAGCGCTCTGCTGCCAGCGGTGTCTGGTGCTGGCTGTAACTGTTGTGCCTTCCTTTCTCCCCTCCTGAAGGCAGCGGGGAGCCACCGGCTTCGGGCACTGCACAGGATCGAGAAGGTGAGCGAGCCGCAGTTCGGGGCAGGGTGGGATGGTGCAGAGGCTTGGTTTTCATCCAAGGAGCTCTGTGAGCCTAGGCAGAGGTCCTGGATAACCAGTTGGTAACAGATGCTCCAAGCTTCCCCCTTACCCTGTGCCATTTCTCCAGCTTTTTCTGCAGTTGCTGGAAGTGGAGGAGACGCAACGGAAGATGTCCCTGGCCCCGGAGGGGAAGCAGCCCTGCTGTGAGGAGCAGAAGAGCCAAGAAGTGGAGCGTATCTACCAAGTCTTGAAGATCAGAGCTTGCAGAAGTGAAGAGTGAGTTTGTGCTGTGGGGAGAAGGGAGTAGGTGGCACCTCCTGGTCCTCACGGGGTTCAGATGGTCACAGATGAGTTGTTCTGGGTGACGGCAAGGGTTGGATCCTGTCTTCCATGTGTCACCGTGGCCTGTGCAGACCCTGCCCATGAGTCTCGTCCTCCACTGCAGCTGATGCTGGTCTTTCTGGATGGACAGAGATGCTACAGGTCCCTCGGGATCTGTGCCAATGGAGCCTTCGTCCCCAGGGAGGCAGAGGATGAATTCCTGCAACTCCTATGTGTGCGGAAGGGCAAGAAGCTCACAGCCCGGCTGCTGCCCCACCTGACCCGGGAGCAAGCGGAGAAGATCCTGCTGACCATCACCCACCACCTGCCCTTCCTCATGAAGAAGGACATGTTGGATGAGGCGAGCACCTCCAGCCAGGGCAGGGCCATCCCAGGCTGCCTCCTTCCCTGTCTGCTCTTGCTGGGGGGGGCACCCTGGGCAATGGGGGGACCCATCTTGCTGGGTCCCAGTACAGCCAGGCAGCTGGTGGGGTTGACATGAGACAGGAGCCTCTTTCCTTCCTTGGGAAGGAGGAGAAAGGTCTCCAGGAGGGGTTAAAGCAGTCCTGGTGGCAGTGTACCCCAGGGGGGTGCAGTGGTTGGCCTTTGTCTCCCCCAGGTGTTGGGATGGGGCTCAGGGATGGGGCTGTGGCCGTGATGGGTGAAACAGTCTCAGATTCCTGCTCTCCTCTCTGCCCTGCCCAGTCTCTCTCCCTGCTCTACAGCCCGTTGAATGAAGTGGTGGGTGGGATGACCTTCAGCAAACTCATTGAGGTCCTGCAGAAGATGACCAGGCCTCTGCCTGAGTCCCCTGAGCTCCCCCTTGCCATGGCCTTGAAGAACCAGGTAGGTGGCCCCAACAAAGGCAGAGCTGTGCATCATCCCTGGGGAGCCATCACTGCCAGCTGCCTGTAACACCCTCCTGGTGCTTCCTCACAGTTTGGCATCTCCTTGCTCTACTCCCTGCTGAGCCACGGCGAGAGGCTGCTGTCCTCCGATGTACCACTGGAGCCACGTAGCGGGGACTTCGAGATGTGGTGAGGGACAGTGTGAGTGATGGGTTTGGGGTTTGCTGGCTGGTGGGATGCTCACCCTCTGCGTTGATGCCCCCAGGACGGACACAGTGTTCCTGGTCGCCCGGGAGCTGTCACAAGTGCCCAAGACCTCGCTGGTGGAGCCTCTCTTCTTGCCCAGCAACCTTCTCTCACTCTTCTGCCGCTACCTGGACAAGCAGACCGTCCACCACCTGGAAGCCAAGATGGAGTGAGTACTGCATGGTGTGGCTCCCTGTCTCTCCTGGGGATCCCCTGGGAGAAGAGCAGCAGATGTCATCGAGAGCTCACTGCTTCTGTCCCTTTGGGGACCACCCTGTTGGGACACGAGTCTCCAAACCTCTGCCGGGCTGAGCTGATCCTTGTGGCTTCTTTGGGCTAGGTCGGCATCAGCTGCCAGCAGCGCGAGGGTGACACCCTGATGCTCCAGCCTTGTCCTTTCCGCGCAGGTGCTCCCCGCTGCCGTCAGAGGCTGCCATGCCGTGCTGAGCCCATGGAGCCGGGAAACGGGACCCGGTGCCAGCGCTGCCGGGAACGGGCAGGGCCCCATGCCCTGACTTTGAGTTTTGAAGCGAACACTTACCCTGGTGCGGGGCACTCCGGGTGAACCGGGCACTTGTGGGGCCGGCGCTCGAGGGCTGATGCCGACTCTGCCCCTAGTGCTCGGGAGCGCGGCACGGGGAGGCGGGTGACTTATTTTGGCCTCGCACCCAGCAGCGGTGAGGCGCTGGATCATGACGGGTGTCGAGGCAGGGTCTGCACAGGGGTGCTGGGAGCACCTGGGGGTGAGTGACTTTGTGTCCAGCACTTTGAAATAAAATAAAAAGGTGATTAACGAGCTCCTCTGGCTCCTGTGGACAGCTTCTGCTGTAAGCACAGGGGGTCCCAGAGGCATCACCTGGGCATGGAGACCCCGTGGTCAGGGATGGATGAGGGGGAATGGCTTCAAACTGGAAGAAGGTAGATTTAGATTAAATATTAGGAAGAAATTCTTTACTGTGAGGGTGGTGAGCCCCTGGCCCGGGTTGCCCAGAGAAGCTGTGGCTGCCCCATCCCTGGAGGTGTTCAAGGCCAGGTTGGATGGGGCTTGGAGCAACCTGGGCTGGGAGGAGGTGTTCCTGCCCATGGCGGGGGGGGGTGGAACTCAATCTTCAACGTCCCTTCCAACCTAAACCATTCTATGGTGGGGATCCAAATGTAAAGGGGAAGGAGAAGCCGGGAAGGATGCACAGAGGACCTGGAACGAGGATAAAGGGGGGATGGAGGAGAAGGCAACATGCTCAGAAGGGAGCAGGGAGGGGATCAGAGGACCCATATGGCTGGGGACAGAGGGGAATTGAGCCCCTGGGGTGAGGAATGGGCTGGGAGAAAAGTGTCTGTGGTGCGGAGAGCCTGTCCTGAAGGGAAAGGAAAGATCTGGGTGCACATGGGAAGGATATGGGACATCTTAAACACACGTTGGGTGAGTAATAAAGTACCTCTTCTCCCTGCTGAGCTCTCAAAGACTAGTCTAAATGCTTGTGGACGTGGTTGTGGTGAGGTACCTTGAAACATCCTTCTTGAGTGATTTTTTTTTACTGACTGTGACTACCACAAGCTGACCCTCATTTCTGCATCGAGGGCCAAGGGGCTGCCTGGGTGGAACATCTGGTCCCATTGTAGAAATCTCTGTGGCTCCTGCCAGGCTATAATGGTGGGGTTTCCCCTAATCATGTGGGACTTCTGAGCCTAGGCCACCTATGTCCATCCAGAGGTCTCAACTTGACACCCAAAGCCTGGTGTATATTCAAAAGAGGTTTGCACCAGAAAGCTGTCTCATCCTCAGACTGGTAGCTGTCATGTGCCTGAGCTCCAACCCTGTGTAGATGAGAACAGATGAACCTATTTCTTTAAACTCGCATCCTCCAGAGGTCAAACTAAGGCACAATGAGAATTTGCAGAAAATAAGCATGTGAGCGGTTGGGTGGGATTGATCTCCACTGCTTATCAAGACAGCTCACATCTCAGCTTCTGAAATACACTTCAGAAGAGCAACTGAGATGCCTGAATACAGCTGTATGGAGACAAGAGATGCTGCAGACATGATGCGGGACCTAGGGGGGCTCCTGTCCTTTGTGTTAGAGGTGGGGTGTAGGGTGTCAATCACCTAAAAGGGTGCCAGTCTAGCTGGAAGGAGCTCCAGGTCATTTTGGCAGCTGCTTTTGTCATCCTGATGCCTCTCCTGCTCATCTTGGTGTCCTACAGCCTCAGCCTGCCCTCAAAATCAGGTTTGCCAAAAAGCAGGTTCAAAGCTACCTCCAGTTGCTCCTCACACTTTATTGTTGGAAGGTTCTTCTTTGGGACAGCTATGTTCATTCCTATGCATCCCTAGCTGTCCGCTTCTATGTTACTTCAAAAGAGTGACACTGGCAGTTGTCATCAGGGTGAAAACCATCATTTCAAACCCACTGAGGTGATCTGGGAGGATATCCGCGTGGTGACCCACCTGCAAGCAAAAGGATGGACTTTGCTGCTAGAAACCCTAGAGAGAATTTCAGGCAGAAGGGAACTAGCAGCTGCTCACAGATTTGTAGGAAGAGAGGAGGATACCAGCGAGTCCTTCAAGATAAGGATAAGCCATGCTATGTTTTTTGTTTGCTATGGAGCATAGCGCAGACCCAGCATGACTCCTCCTTGCCTGAGAGCCAGCGGGGATGGAGGAGGAAAGTGCGACATGGTTGCAATTGCATAATAAACCAAATGCTCTGGAGTAGGAGGGTTGGAGGTTTCTACTGGAATTTGCTGCTTCATTGAAGGAAACAGCTGAGACAAAAGAAGGAAAATCCTTCTCTTAGTTACTCTCCCACAACCCAGGGACCTGCACCATGCCGCAGATCCCCCTGTGCACTTCCCACCTGGAGAAAGAGACCCTCTCCCTGGGGTACCACCTGGTGAATGAATTCAGCTGAGGGGTGCTCAGCAGGTCAGGGACCCTGTCTGATTTATCAGCACTGGGGTCTTTTCCCTTAATGCAAAGCCAATGAAAGTCCAGGGTCTCTCACCTGGCTCTTCTTTACCTACTGCCCTGCCTGGTTCCTTCTGGCACTGTCCTGAAAGAACCACCAGCCCCGTGAGGTGGTGGTGACCCATCACCACAAGCAAGTGACTGGACCAAGGGTGGTCACTGTGTCAGGGATATGGGGCTCATCCTGGGATGTCTTGGGGGTATGGGACTCATACTGGGATACAGGGCAGAGTATTTTGGCCTTGTACGAGACTTATTACTGGATGTTTAGGGGAGGAACCAAAGGTGGGGAGAAGGAGGGATCGAGGTTTGTGGCAGCGTCACCTGTCTTGTGCTGCTCCTGAAAACCCTCGAACGGAACAGGGGGCCATCCCAGTCAGGGTGTGAAGGGGCTGGTGGCTGTCCTGGTTAAGGTGTTGAGGGGACTGTGGCCATCTTGGTCAGGGCACTGAGAGTGACCAATGGCTGCTCAGGGTTCAGGTATCCTCGAGGTGGCTGGGGGACGGAGAGGACTGTGGCCATCTTGGTAGGGACATCACAGGCACTATGGCGTCTGGGTCAGGGCATCGAGGGGTTGGCAGCCATGGGGATGACCATGGCCATCTCAGTTGGGGCATTGACAGGACCATGACCATCTTGATTGGGGTGTTGAGGGTGCCATGGCCACCTTGGTTGGTGCATTGAGGGGACCACAATCATCTCAGTTGTGCTGGTGAGGGGAATATGGCTGTTTGGATCATTGGGAGGACCACAGCCATCTCAGTTGAGCTGTTGAGGGGGCCACGGCCATCTTGGTTAGAGCACTGAGGAGACCACAGCCACCTCAGTTGAGGCGTTGGGGGGACCGTAGCTGGCTGGGGCACTGAGGGGACTACGGCCACCCCAGCTGAGGCATTGAGGGGACACCCGCCCTTGCCGCCCTCAGGCCCGGGCTCACCCACTGCCTCCCCCCGGGGGGGGGCACACCCTCTCCCCCTCCACCGGTGCAATGGTACAGCCCGACGGGCCGCCTCGCCGCC